CTGGGGCGGCCCGAGGGCGGGCGGGAGAGGCTGGCATTTGGGCTCGTGTCTCTTGGAGATGCTGGCCCGGGGTGTGGAGCGCTGCAGGGACCAGCGACCGCAGTGTGTTTCAAGGGGGTGAGCTGCAGTTGCAGCCCTGCACGCTGTGCCTCAGCTTCCCAACCCTCATAGTGGTCAAACCCAGCCTCACAGGTGTTTGCCGCGTGGTGGTTTTCCCTGTTCCCTAGATAAATGTGCTCTTTATGATTTCCTCCTGCTTTTGCTTAGATGCATCACAAGCTAATGCAAATCCCCCTGACGATGTCCATGACTGAGACAATCAGCCCAAAGAGATCTGTAGGAATTCATACAGGCCAGGGTCAATACTGGAATTTTTCAGCAAAAAATCCCTCTCAGCTCTGTCCCCAGCCCTGACACACAGGCAGGTCTGCTCGGAGGGGGGCTGCCATCTGACACAGCTGCCAAGCAAAGGCCCCAGGTGGGAACAACTTGGTGGTGACTTCTGACATCTTAGGCAGATCCAGCAGGCGTGGCCAGGTGTGGTCTCACATCTCCAGAACCCAAATCCACCGTGGGTTAAAACAAGCATCTCAGACTTTGTGTGGAGCCTAATGATGAGTTTGCAACTCTGCACTGTTGCCGGGGGGGTGGAGGTGTCTCCTGGTTTTGCCTTCCCCAGGTGCTGAGCTCCATCTTCATTCATCTCTGCTTATCTTGCTCTTGGAACAGGACTGATCTCCCACCCGTGTTTCCCTGGCCAGACCTGTGCAGAAAGGTGGAAGGATGGCTCGGAGGATGAGCATTGATGAGCTGGAGGACCAGCTCCTCTGTCCCATCTGCCTGGAGGTCTTCAAGGAGCCCCTGATGCTGCAGTGTGGGCATTCATACTGCAAGTCCTGCGTGGTGTCACTCTCCAGAGAGCTGGACGGGCAGTTCCTGTGCCCTGTGTGCCGCCAGACCGTGGACTGCAGTGCCTCGCCACCCAATGTCACGCTGGCCCGTGTCATTGAGGCGCTGCAGAGCCGCGGCGAGGCAGAGCCCGCGCCGGAATCCTGCCCAACACACCACAACCCCCTCAGCCTCTTCTGCGAGGCCGACCAAGAGGTGATCTGCGGGCTGTGCGGCACCATCGGCAACCATCACCAGCACAAGATCACCCCCATCTCTACTGCGTACTGCCGGATGAAGGTTGGCAGGCAGAGTTGGATGGGGCTCCTGGTGTGGGGGTTAGGGCACTTGCAGCACTTGCTGGCCAAATGTCCCCTCTCCTTCAAGGGACAGGCTGGAAATGATGCCCGTGTGGGGAGCATGGTCCCACGGCACAGCCAGACGTGAGGCAGGGTTCCTGGGCTGGGGGGCAGCTGTTTCTCAGACTGAGCACGTACCTGGCTGAGAAGGCTCATGGTTTTGGTGGCTGAACCACAGTGGGGAGAGCCGGGGGTCGGGGAGCGTCGGTGGGGCCTTTCAAGACCTATTTCCAAATACCGCCAAAAGAGTCTGGAGATAAGGGCTGAGACGAGGTGCCACAGGAGAGGAGGGAGGTGGGGAAACAGGAGCCCTACCCCGGCAGAGTAAACAGCTGGCATCCCCTGCCCAGCATCACATGAAAGCCCCAGGAATGGAAAAGCACAGGGCCACTCGTCCCCTCCGCTCCTGGCACTGGGGAGATAAGAGCAGGAGGCACCAGAAACGCTCCTGCCCCAGCCAGGCTCCCAGCACTGGTGCTGGGAGGGTGCCACCGGCCTGGTGCTGGCTTGTGGCTTGCTCGCCACCGCTTGCCACCCACTCGCACGGTGCAGTGCCTCCCTGGGGTGTGAGATACAGAGGGCTGGGAATGTGAGTGGAGACATGGTGCTCCTGGCAAGAGTCCTTGGTCAACAGTGTCCAGATCGGGGACGTGCTGTGAGCACTCTCCTGCCTCTGGCAACCCCAAATTCTCTAGATCAAGAGAGTAAAGATCAACAGGATATGCAGGGCCCCAGAAAGCTTAGAAGAACATGGCTTCTGAGGGCTCTGTGCTCCTTGGGGGGGCTACCCAGCACAGCCTGTGATCAAGGAGGCTGCCATATAGGTCCCTCCTATAGAGAGCTGGTGTCTTTTCAGGAGGAGCTGTCTGTGCTGCTGACCGACATCCACCAGTACAAGAGGAACCTGGATGAACACTTCAGCAAGCTCATCAACAACAAAAGCCGCATCGCAGTGAGTGCCATGTGCCAAGGGCGCCTGCATCCCAGAGTCCTGTGCACCCCACACAGGCCCTGGAGCAACCTCTGCTCCTGGGTCTCCCCACCTTGCCTCCTCTACTCCTCTTCTTCTTTTCCCCCTTCCCTGGGATAGCAGACAGGGCTTATCTTCCACACTGTTCCCTGAGGTTCGTGTTCTGCACGAACCTCAGGGGTTAAACACAGACCTGCTGTCGGGAAGGGTGAGTAGCACTCTGGTGGCACAGCCCTGTTTTCAGAAGGGGTGATGTAATTCTCACCAAGCGTCCTGGCAGGAGCAGCAGTCAGAGCTGGTTTGACCGAATGTCCTTGGAGGTGGGGAGATAACAGGTGAAAAGAACCCCACTCGGATCCGGCTTCACAGTCAGAGCAACACTGCTGGTTTCACATTGGTTTATGCCTGGTTTAGCGGCATGTCCATTTCCCACACAGATCTCTTCAAGGGACCTCCTGGCATCCTGTCTGAGGCTAAAGCTTCCCAGTGAGGCTCCTCAGAAGGGCTCAACACAAATACGAATGGAGCTGCAAATTTCTCCCCCTTAGCCCAGGACACAGGTTGTTCCCTGGAACCAGAGGGATCCAAGAGCTCTTTCAAGGCTCTGATGAAGCTGGTTGGGACATCAGGAGATCAAAATCTGGGGGAGGAGAGGTGTAAAGCAGGCGTGCTGTGGTGGTGAGCTGCTGAGGCCAGCAGGATGAAACAACATCAAGCCTGCTGTCCAGAGCTGCTTTTTATTTGGAAAGCCAGTGGAGAGAGGCTTGGTGGGACATGTTGACATTGCTGGTGGCATCTCTGAAACTAAAAAGCGGGTGAAGGGGATGTAGCAAGGCAGCCCTGCACAGCTGCTTGCTGTCTCCCTGCAGAACGAGGCAGATGTCTTCAAGTGGGTGATACGGAAGGAGTTCCAGGAGCTGCATAGGTACATTGATGAGGAGAAGGCCACCTTCCTGGAGAGCATCGAGGGGAAGGCCACCCAGCTCATCACCTCCATTGAGTCCCAGGTCAAGCAGACATCAGATGCCCTGCAGAGGCTTAAGGAGATGCAGAGCTCTCTAGAGGCACTCAGCAATGAAAGTCAGCTTGATTTCATCCGGGTGAGTGCACTTGCTAGCGAAGGCAGTGACGGTCAGCCAGGCTCTCCAGCCCTCAGCCCACTGCTCATAGCACTGAGCCCTGCCCTGGGCAGTGGGTACCCTCACCAAGCATAGCTGGGACACCTCGAGAAGTGAGATGTAGGTGCCCTTTGTCCAGCCAGGACTTCCCCTGATGGCACAAACCTGCCCTCCATGAGAGGCAATGCCCATAGCTCTCCCAGAGGAGGAGAGCCCTGGCCTCTCCAGCTCAGGGCATGCATGTGCGGAGCTGTGACCATGCAGAGGAGCTGCTGTTCTGTCAGTCTCCCACCAGCAACTCTCTGTTTCTCTTCTGTTTTCCAGAAATATGGCTCCTCCCAGTTCCGGTGAGTGCTAGAACCCAGCAACAAACAGCAGTGCCTCCACACCAGGACTGCACCATTGCTGGGGCAGCCTGACATGGACACTGCTGTTGTGATGGATGGCCACAGCCAGAGCCATGCATTCAGCCCCAGAAGAGGGCAAGAGCAGCTGGCGACACACCAGGTGAGAACAGGTCACAGACCTTCCCCGTCACCTGTGTCACGGCTGCCTGTGTCTTTCCGGGTCAGAGCTCCCCAGCCTCCACCCCAGTGATGGCATCTTTAGCCCTGTGTCCTTCAAGCCGTGCTTCCACCAAGATGACATCAAGATGACTGTGTGGAAGCGCCTGCATCGCCGTGTCCTGCCAGGTACCAACCTGCTCTGCTGGCAGCACGCCGGGTGCCCTGGCTCAGTAGCGCGTGGGACAGGCTGGCCAGCCAGCATTGTGCTGTCCTGGCCTCTATCTTGCTCTCTGCTGTGTCTTGTGCCGGTAGCAGCCTGCTCTGGCATAAGGCCCCAGCTGCTTAAAGCTCAGCAGTGCCAGCTTGTCTGGCTGTGCCAGTCCCCGGGGTCGCCTGGGGCTGGACCCCTGCCTGCTAGTGTGCCTGGAGCCTGCATGCTTTCTTTCTAGCTCCAGAGACGCTGAAGCTCGACCCGGTGACAGCACATCCCCTCCTGGAGCTCTTCAAGGGTGACACAGTGGTGCAGTGCGGGCTCTACCAGCGCCGGGACAGCAACCCCAAGCGTTTTGACTCCAGCAACTGCATCCTCACCTGCAAGGGCTTCTCCTGCGGCCAGCACTACTGGGAAGTGATTGTGGGCACCAGGAACCACTGGCGCGTGGGCATCATCAAGGGCACAGTCAGCCGCAAAGGGAAGCTCAGCAAGTCTCCCGAGAACGGTGTGTGGCTCATCGGCGTGAAGGAAGGGAAGGTCTACGAGGCCTTCAGCACCCCGCGGGC